AGGCAATCACCCATTATAACCAGCACTGCCTACCACCAGTGCTTACACTGTGTGGGAATGTGCAGCCTTGAAGGGAGCTAAATTCAGAAGCTCCATGGTTTTGTTCATTGGTTTTCCTGGTTTCCTCAACTAAGTTGATACACTAAACCTCCCAATAAACAGGCAGACCAAAAAAAAGTGAACTGCTTACAAACGATTAATGAGGACCGCCATTAATAAGAACTTGGGATATGGTTTCACATCGCCTTAAACATCATCTAAGCTGCAGCACTCCTACCATGGCCACTGTAGCCCAATGCCTGCTCGCACTTCTTTCACCAGTGCTTCCGCAGTGGTACAGGAGGCTGGTTCATCTGACTGATGTGTAACTTCCAGTGGCTACCGCTGGAAGTTAACAACTGGTACCGGGGGGAGCCCACTCTTTGGCTCACCGTGGAACAGCATTCTTACACTTTCTAGAGTAAAAAACTGTTTTTTTGCCTACTGTGGGTAATAGGAGATTTTTCAGCCCTGGTGTCTTGTTATACAAATATAAAGCGTTGTGTGCTGTTTCCAAAAAGGAAAAGGGTGTGCTTGTGGTTAAGGTTTCAGAAACATCTAATTAGAGACGAAGGAAAGCTGAAGCATTCAGGCAAAAATACATAAGGTTAACCACTTGGAGCCCTAGAAAACAGTAACAGCAGATAGAAGAAACAAGCACTCAGCGAGAAAAAGCATTTGATCTGCCTGGGAGGCGAAGCTGCATCACGTTCCTGCCTTCATTTACCAGCTCACAGCTTTGTGCAAACCCCTTGTAATACAAAATGCACAAGCAGCACCGGGACCAAAGCCCGGACACGAGCACTCGTTCTGTCTGTCCCTCTCAGGGCACGCCATCCTCAGCGAGAGGGGGCAGCCCCGTCCCGCTCTCTCCCCTCCGCCCCGTGCTTCAGGGCCCTCGGAGGACGGGCAGCCAAGCCGACGGCAGCCTCCTGCCCTGCCCAGGCGGTGACATTGCCCTCACGCTCAGCGGGCCACAGCCAGGCTCTGACGGGACCACATCAGCGCCCACGAGCCCGCTAACAGACTGAAAAGCAACACCCTCCTCGCTCCAGCGACCCCGATCGCGCCGGACGGCACGAAGCGCAGCCGCGGGCGGGATCGGCCCGCCCCTCGACTCGCAGGAAGGGAGGCGGAGCCAGCCTCGTTCCACCCTGCAGAGCAGATATAAAGGCTGCGAGCCCCTCTTTTCGCTCCCTTTTCCCGCGGAGCTGCTGTGGTGGCGGGTAAGAGGGTACGGGAGAGGCGGTTGGGGCTGCGATGTGCGCCTCTTCCTGAGCGCGGCTGGGGGGTTCCTTGCGCTTCTCTTTTATGCTGGGCTGCTGGGGAGGCCTGACTGGGGCGGCGCTCGCCTAGTACTTGAGGCTGGAGCTGGTGGGAGAGACGCGCGCATTGGAGCCGCGGGCGCGGCCAGGTGCAGGCTAGCGGTGGGGCCGCACGGCGTGGTATGGCTCCCCGCTGCTGCCGCCGTCGCGGAGAGGAATGGCTGGAGGGTGGACTACATGTTCCAGCACACCGCGCGCCTCGGGAGGGAGGGAGGCGGTAGCGTAGCATGGCCGGTTTCCCTTGCAGGAAGCGGTGTCCTGCGGCGCGGGGCACGCTGGGGCCGGTAGTTCGTGGTAGAGGGCGGCGGGCACCATCTTGCCCTGATGAGGGCGGTGCCTTGCGAGGTGCGGCTGGGCTGCGCCATTTTGATCGCTTGCAGGCCCGGCCGGCGGTAGGGGGCCGCGTCGGGTGCCCTCGGGGACTGATGATGTGGGAAATGCTGATTGCCGGCGTCATCGGCTGGGGTTGGGAGCAACCTCATGCCTGAGCGGTGCTACCTTCCGCTTCACTCCCTTGCCTTTTGAGTTACACTTAAAATGCTGGCTAATGCTGAGGAATGAAATCGACCCAAACATCGCCATGGGCATGAGGTGTTTCTAGTGAGTAAAGTGGAGTTGCTAATGTCACTGAGACCTAGTACTTCTCGAAGAACAAGAAATGCAATAAAAAAATACAGCTAGGATTCTAGGCTCGTATCTGCAAACAAAGATTAGGAAATGGCTGCATTCGTGTAGGAAGGCGTGGGGCAAATTCATTCCGTGTTGAATTGGCTTCTTTAATGATAGCCTGAGTCATATCTTAAGTTACTGAACAGTAAAACTTCTAAATCAATCATTACAAGCCATTGGTGTAATGCTTGGTTATTGGGTGTAATAAGCAAGCTTGAGATTTTCCATGGCTTAAATTGGTTTTGTAATCTGAAGCAAAACATGTTTAATAGGTTATTTTTTAATGGTTGTTACATCTATTGGATCTATGCAGTGCAGATAGAGAAGCTTTATTGGAATGTGTGTATATTAAGTATAGAATATGGCAAAATGAATACTTTGTGCTGTGTTTTCTTTGGCTGGTTACGTTGGTAGATTTAAGTATTTGTTATGTGTTCAAAACTGAATTCGCTAAATCAATTGAAATCAGTATGTAAAGGACTGAAACCTTGAGATTATGAATTTTCATTAAAAATCCTTCGGACTGAAGTGTAGTAGTGGGCTCATGCAGCTATTTCTACAGTACTTTAAACATGGGATTTCAAGTGGATGTGACTCATAACTCCGTTTTACTTAAAACTGGCTTCATTTCTTGCTGCTTTCTAAAAGGCCTCCTGTAAATTAAGATTTAGTGTTTAACATTATTGCTTCTGAGACTTGAGAGGTTGATGATTGTCTCGATGTATGTAACGTAGTGGTCTGGTGATAAGAATATACTCATTGCAGGTGTTGTTTGTTTTTAGGTATGATGGAGAAGTTTTCAATGGTGTCCAGTGTAGAAGCATTAAGGTAATGGCTGTGGAGGTTTTAATTTTCTTGATCTAGAAGTAACACCACATTTCTGTTGTTGCTAAAAATAATAAATGCTTTAATTGCTCACTTGATTTCCGTATTTTTGTGTCTCAAAAGTATGTGTTAAATGCTAGAGGGTTGTCATCTTTGTATGGCTACTGAGTGGGACAAAAGGAAAACTGGTTAAGATAAGAGTGTGTTGTGTTTTCATAGTCTCCATTACACCGACAAGTAATTATTTGATGTTTTTATCTGTGCTCTTCACTGAGCAAAAGTGAGCCCTTAGGTCAGTTGTTCTTAGTTTCATTTCTTTTGCTATTGTATAAGCATGAAGATCTACACGATAAATCACTCAGTTAACCTGTGCTAAATTATACTGGTCTTGGAGTTGGTGCAGGTTAGCTGTCTGGCCTTGGGCATGTGTTGGAGTTAATGTTAATCTGCATACATTACCATATTTGAATGTAATTATTGAGCTAATGATCCTGTGAACTATGGAAGGGCAGTGGGATTGCATTGTGAATATGTGCCACTCATAAATATTTTTGAAATAGAAGTATAAATACCTTGATTCCTCAGACCTTGTAAAGATTGTAAAATGATCCAAAATCCAATTCAGGGTACTTCTTTTTTTCCTAGTGCATAAAAGGTTTCATCTTGAAATATTAAATTGCTGGGTGAAAAAGTGGATTTTTAGTACTTGGTGATTATTCTTCTGACATAGTAATGTGAGATTATGCTATACCAGAGTAAGGCACATTTTCAACTTCAACAGGTAATTTTTGTTTAATTCCAGTTTCAGTCCTTCATGTAAGCACTATCGGGAGTAGAACAATAGTTACACACAAGTAAATTTTCTTGAAAGCTATGTATGTTTTGAATGACTAGTGGGGATAAGTTAGTATGATAAATAGAGTAAAATTCACGTATGATCAAATTAATAGGTGTCATCAGCTTTACAACTGAGGTGGCATTGTGTTTCAGGCATGCTTGGTCTAGACATGTGTAGGCTGGGGAATTGTACAGTGTATTTGGGTCGTCAGAAGAGCTGGTGAAATATGCCTGTCCAGAGTGTTCATATTAAATCTGACAAAGATTACCTCAGGATGGCTCTTAAATGTTAATTTGCACTTTATCGGGACATTAGTTTAAGAAAGTGCTTAGGTGAAGAGAACAAAGGGGACATCTAGAGACCTCTTAATATATACAGGCAAATGTGGTTCCAATGGTAGTTTATACTCTCACTTTCTGGAGATGCCAGGAAATAACTTCAGGATCTGTATTCAGTTTAATTTGATGCCAAAGCTTACAACCAGTAGTTGGGAGGAAGTAAGATCCACAAGAGTAAAACTTGGTTGTTCCTAATGGGTTGTACTATGCTATGCATGAATATATTGTAATTATTTTACTCAATGTTGGGAGCAGTTTCTAACAGTGGGAATGTCAGGTGTCCTGATGAAAGATTTCCTGATACCTGTAGTACAACAGATAAGGAGGTAACATTGATAAAGGAGCTGAAAATTTTTGTTACTGGTAATGTACCTTTTCAGTACATCTACATATGGAAAACACAATTTTTGTAGAATGTATGAATTATGTTAACAATTACCAGTATTTAAGTGGTGAATCATGATGAAACTGCCAAACCTGATACGCTGATGAGAAATTTCATATGGATCTGGCTACTGAGATGAAACCACTTAATTCTTTCAGAAGTCGCTTAATCTTTCAGTCATTATCTCAGTGTTAACTTTTGCTGCTATCCTTGCGGATAGCCTGGATGCCACCATGCTCCAAGTTGTGAATAAGGATGTTGGTGCATTATTTAAACTTGCCTTGGGTCCATGTTGACATGGGTATCTGTTATTGCAAAAGCTAATGCCTTTAAAGAGGAAAGGGGGAAATACTAGACCCCTGTCTTGGTAAGTAAACCTTAGCTGAGTATTAAAAGCACCCTAGCAAGGAATTGTGCTGGTGTTTGAAAGATAGTGATCACATTTGCATTTTGACTTAGAGACTTTTAACTAGAGGCTCACTTAGATGTGAGCATTTAGAAAAAGTAATGATTAAAGGTGGAATTTGGTGGTGAATTGTAATTATATTCAAGTTGTTAACAGCTTCAGAGCTAAACTGACTCAGAAGGGCTAGATAGCATGCAGCAGGCAAAAAGCATGTCTGTGAATGCTTACTGTGCATCGAGTGCTCCTAGTGGCTTTCTCAAGAACTTCATTCTTACCTAAAGAACTGAATTTAATCTTTTTCTCCAATGAAATTCACTTAACTGCACTGGTTCTTGAGTATCCACAGATTCTTTTTAGCTAAGATGTTAAAAATATAAAATGTGAGGATAAGTTCTAATTTTCCTGACTTACTGCAACACCTGTAATTTTATTCTACTCCTTTATTAAGGAAAGGTACCTTTAAATACCTTGCTAGCTACCAGCAGTTTTATTTTGAAGGACTTCCAATATGCGAAGTTCAAACGTGTGAGTGAAACTTCTTGTGGAGCAGTGCTACATATAAAATGCTGTACTGTTTAGACAGGCAATATCGCAAGTAGGAAGTGGAGTGACTTACATGGCTGATCTAGAGCAAAATTGGAAGTATCAACTCTTGAATTCCAATAAATGTGGATTATTTTAAAAGCTTTATATGGGAGTAAAAAGTTCTTCTGTTGTTTGCAGGAGTTGTATGTAGAAGAATGTTGCCTGGATGCAGGGGTTTTCATTTAATGCTTGCTTGTTGGTTGGTTTTGACTTCTGGAATTTTTAATGCTTTGATAGGTGTTAAGAACTCAGTATTAACTAATTTTCAGAAATGAACTTTGTGATTCTTATAGGAAAGGGGAATTATCCTTGATTGCTTAGTTGGCTATCTTAGTTCATAGCAAAGTTGATCAATAGCTGGCCAAGAGAGGCAAAATACTGTGGCATGACTACACTTCCAAGTTTCACCAAAGTTGCTGAATACTATACTAGTCCAGCACATGTTCATTAATGCAGTATGACGTGTATGAGAGATTAAATAGATGGCAAGTTGTATTCTGAGAGATGGAAGGAAATTTTTCTGAACTAATAAATGTCCTTTTTTTTTTCTTTTTAGAGGAAAATTATAAAAAATGTAGGAACAAATGCCTTTAGCTTATTAAGGTATGTAGCTGAAAAGCTTCTAAATGTTTTCTCATTTTAAGTCTAGAGTGCTAGCAGTTCAGGGAATTCTTTGTATTATGACAGTTCTTGATACACTAGATCAATTGATACGTTAAACTGGTATAGTAATTTTGTACATAGCTGGAATTTAAGAACACTTGTTCCCCAAGGCACAGTGTGTGCTGATAGCTGAGCCTAACCTTGGTTAGCTTTCAAACATATATGCAAGGTTTAAGTATGTATTATTATTGAAATACATCAAAGGACTAGAGAATGTTTCTTAAATTTGCATTTTCTGTATTGCTTTTGTCTCATCTGTGATGATCCTATCCCGAACCTGATTTCTTTGCTGAAAAAACAAATACGGATCCGGATTCTGAGATGAGAACCAAAAGGTTTCATCTAAACTTTCTGAGAAGTGTTATAACTTCTATGAGGTTTTAGGGTTTTTTAGAGAAATGGTAACACCTTGATGTATAGTGTTGTGTCTTACTTCTCCCTCAAATGAGCCTTGTTCTCTTTTCCAGTGATGAGTTGGAACACTTTGCCAGTGCTGCCTGACAAATGTGGATGATCTGTAACTGGAAGGAAGAGTAACACCGGAAGAGTTTTTTTGGCTTGGAGTGGGATGCTGTGCTTTTAAAAGCCTGCTGAAACAACTGCTGCAGTTTTGTTTAGTGGATACTGTTCTCAGAAGCTGCATGTTAACCAACATCACACACTGCGTATTTAAAACAGTGCTTTTTCCCAAAACATTGAGCTGCCCTCTGTAGGGAGGATAGCAGCAATATTAGGGAAATGAGTGGTGAGCTTCAATAGACAGAAAAAACCCTCAGGGTATTTAGCCCTTTTAAAATATCATAAGGGTCTGCAGAGTTGCTGATACTGAAGATCTGTAATAAAATAGTGAAACAGGTAGGCCCTGTAAAGACAAGGAGAAAGCAAAATGGGTACTCAAATTCAAACCAGTGAGCCTGCTTTTTGAGGGTGGGATCATGCAGGAGATGGGATGAAGTAGATGCAGAAATCTACAGAGCAGCTTTCCTTTCAATGAGATTTACTATTTTGTGAACAAATGCTAAGTGTGAAGGGTAGGTATTCCCGTGTGCTATGTTTTGTACATGCTATTTCTTGAATAAAGATGAGGATGTGGAAAACCTACCTGTTGCACATCGGGTCTGTAGTTGCACCACACTGTTCCTTGACAGCTTATGCTTTGTAAGAGCTACAAAGGCAACATGGCCTTGTTGGTCTGACTGGTACAGCACATGCTGAACATGTGATAAGCCACATTGTACTTGAGTGACTCCTGGACAACATAAATACCATTAATGATTATGCACTTTTAGAAGTGGGACAGGACCTGTCTCTTGCCCACTGCACTTTTTCTGTGAAAAGTGAGTGCTGTTGACAAGATCTAGTGAAGCCCCTTGGATGGTAAGTCAAAACAGTTGCCGGTCCTAGTGATATGGCAGTGATGCTTGTTAAGTACTTTGGTAGATGCTGGAAAAGATCTGTGTATGACTTGAGTTACAGGGGCTAGAAGAGTGTTTTGGCATGTTGAGGTACCATATTTTTATCCTTTGTACTGATGCTAATATGAAATATAGAAACTTTTAAGGAGGTATTGGTATGTGTAGATCTGAGAGAATTACTGTGATTTCTAGTGTCAAGAGAAAACATCCGGGATGTTGGTGGCAGTAATGATAAAGTACTTTAGATCAGTTATGTTCTGTGTTCTAAAACATACTTTGGGAATGGTCTCTGGTGGTATTAGATGAAAGGTGCCAGAGAAAATTACTGTACGTACCAGGCAGTGGAGGCTTGTCTCCAGAAGCAATGTTTAATCATTTAAGAGATACACCTCAGCATAGGAAAAGGTACATGTGGCCAGTGGTAAGGCATATTGGCTGTTTAGCTGCAGACTCTTTGTTTATGAATGTTCTTGTGCTTCAGGCCTACAGAAGATGGGTAACCAATGAAAAATGTTAGAAAGTATAATGTTTACAGAAATGAACAAATGTTTTAACACTATACTCCAGAGACTTGGAATCTGGGACTAGTGAAAATTATGCAGAAACATAATTTTTATAACTAAGATGGAAAGAGTAATACTTGTAACGGGTTTTTTGCTTGGCAGGAGAGAGATATTTTGTTTGCAAACCACTTGCATATTCTGGCCTGCTTTTGAGTCTAGTAGGATGTTTTATATAAGTGATGGAGGTAAGGGGATGTAGTTGTGAAGAATTAGTGTGACAGGTTTGGAACATGTGGCATGAGATGTCTCTGCAAAAATCCTTAATTAAACTTCAGTTTTACAAAACAGCTTGCTAGATTTAAAGCTCTCAGTTACGATTATGCAGTAAACTGCATGAAAGCACTTTGCTTTTTTGTGCTTTAAATAGCCTGGGGAAGTCTTGAACTAGCTGTCAGTACTGTTGAACTTAAGTATCACATGGCTGTTGGGCTGTGGTTCAAGAAATCAATGGCTAGACAAACTTTGTTCTGGGTTATTGCCACGTGCCCATCTTGGTTAATGGGCAAAAATTGCAGAGCCTTTTTTAGAATTAAATGAGTGATGGGTTTGAAATCGAGGACCTTGCAACCACACAAGAGTAGTTCTGCATACATGCCTTGCTTCCATTTAAGTAGTGAGGTCCCTGTTAAGGTGGGAGGTTTTATGTGTTCCTGAAGAACCTGTCTTGCCGGTGGAGGCTGTAGATCCATAAACACAGTTGTGAGCGAAACTAAGCTAGCAGCTATCTTGCCACAGCAGTCTTGCTGCTATGTGGGTACACTGGCTACTGTGGAGCCTGACAGAAATAACTGATCCTAGTGAGCAGCAATTATGTGCTGCCTTGGCCACAGCGATAGTGTGTGCTGGCTTTGGGGTTGCTGCCTTCTGGTGCAGACCAGCTCTTAATTATGTAAACTTGCCACGTAAAGCTTGGGTATGAGTTTTGACAATTAAAAACAGGCACTGAAGTAGCAGTTGGTAGAGTAACACTCTTGACAGTCAAACATGGACACAGCAGAGCAAGCAGTGTTAGACTTTGCCCAAAGGTATTCTGGATCTTGCAGCGTGTTTACCACCCTGACTTTGGGTCAGTAGTTTTTCTGTATGCTCCCTCCACAGTTCAGAGGACAAATTTTGAGTTGTAATCTGGAGTGTGAGAGAACTTAACAGACAAATTGTAATTTTAGGTTAGTGGAGTACAGAGGGAGGCCTTTGCATGCTATGTAGATGTGTATGCCCAATGATTTACATTCTCTGTACTTTCTGTTATTAGAACAGGTATTACAAGTGCTTTGTCTGCCCTTGTCTGTTTCCCTCAGAGAATGAAAAGCAAAATTAAAGTTATGAATTCCATTTTCTTTCATGTCATGTGCCTTTATAGTTGATAGTCCAGTTGAGCTGTGAGGGCTATGAAGACAGTACTTCTCTCTGCCATTGTCTCAAACTTCCTGCAGGCTCCAGAGGACAAAGTGGTGTTTGATGCTCAGAAGAATGGCTGTATTGAGTGGGAGAAAGTCTGCCTCGCTCAGTATTCTGTCTGAGGATGACCAGTATAAGGAACAGGAGAAGTACAGAGAGCCTTTCTAGCAGTTTGCTTGGGAATTTCCTGAGGAGATTTTTATTTGTATTTGAATAATACTTGGCAATTACCGCCAATCTTCATTTAAAAATATGAAACATGAATGTTGTGGGTTGTAAAATATATGGAGTGATGGGCATGTCAGTAACTGTGGGGAGGACAAGACTGGCAGTGGACTGAAGTAAAAGCTTTCTTTTTTCCTGTTAGAAGCTGATGTTGCTTTCAGCTCTAGCATGCATGAAAACAGTGCTAAGTGGAGTCCAGTTAAGGCCTCAATGCTAGGCCAGCTTTACTGTTTAATTGAGCTATGTTGGAGGTGAAAATCTGAAGTACTGATGTGTGCTTTGGGGCACCCCTGAGCTACACTTCATACTTAAGTATTCTCACTAGACCAATAACCAGTACTTTTTTTTTCCCCCCTATGACTGGAGTTCTTGGTAACTGAAGGAACACTGTCCCACCAATGATGGTACTAGTTTTATGGTTGCAAGTGAGGAATGATTAAAAAATAAAGTTGGGTTATTTTATACCTGTGGAAAGAAGCTAGAGAGGTGAATGGACTGAAATAAATGCTTAGACCTTATTTTGGACTTGGTAAGTTTTATGAAACGTATTAAATAATCTTAAAATCATTGAAGAGGAAGAATATACAGTTACCATTAAATTGGTGTACTTACCTTGACAAAATAGGCAATTAGCATTAGCTGTTTGTTTTCAGTCAGAATGGAGGGATGTTGCAGATACCGGAGTCCTCAAAGAAACATTGGAGACTTAAACTCTTAAGTGTGTGTTGTGGTTTAACCCCAGCTGAAAACTAAGTACCATGCAGCTGCTTATTCATTCTTCCCCCTTTGGTGGTATGGGGAGGAGAATTGGAAAAAATGTAAAAACCTGTGGGTTGGTCATCAGAACAGTTTAATAACTGAAATGAAATACAATCATTGCAAATGAAAATTTAGAGAATAGAAATAAAACCAAAGACAAGTGATGCATAATACCATCACTGGCCACCTGCTGACTGATGCCTGGCCCATTCCAGGGCAGAGACTGGCACCTCCCAGCCAACTTCCCCTGATGTATATACTGAGCATAATGTTCCAGGCAGTTCCGAGTATTACTGTTCATTCCCTGGTATATCTTAGAATAAATATTTTCTGAAAAGAGTTATGTTTCTGTTAAGAGTTATGTTTATGAAAATTTTATAAAGCTACCTATCTTCTATTGCAAACAGAAATCTGGTTTGTGGAAATTTGTGCTCCCCCTTCTATCTGTTTTACAGATTATGAACTGTGTAATAAAAAACAAATGTAACAGCAGGAACAAGAGTTTACCTTCAAAACATTTTTAAATAGTATTTATGAACAGTATCACCGTGCTGAGAATGTTCCCCAAAAAAAAACATTAAGGGAGGGGGCAGAGATGGAAAAGGTTTTAAAAAACATGTTTTTGAAGAAGCACTGTTACAGTTGCCAGAATTTGCTTGTCTTCACTTCCATTAACTTAAGTTCTGCTGCTAATGAAAAGTTGTTCAGCATATTTTCTGCTTGTTTGATGTACAGGCTGTAAGGCTGCTGAAAGCCTTTTCTTCCCATGTAAAGGGAACTTTATATGATCACCCTTTGGCAGGGTTGACTGCAAGGTGTTTTGTTGTGGTTTTGCCTTAACTGCTATGGCAAGAAGACTGGAAATAGTATGAGTACTTTCTCCTGGGAGCTTCACGTAGTTTCTAGTTTTATAATTAAAGACTGAGCAATTGCTACAATGTATTTTCTATTCCTGGATATGGAAAAGTTAGGGTTTTAGCTTACTGAAGAAGAAATATGGTTTGCCAGGAGTTCCACAGGTTTGGAGACAGACCTCTCACTTGTTCTTAAGATCTGAAATTCCCAAGTTCTGAAGAGTACCAGTGAGGATTATATACCCTGAAAGGGTGTTTGCTTCTATATCTGTTACATTTTCCTAAAGGCTAGTTTGGGACTGTAGTTGTGATTTTTCACTGAAGTGTGACTGGGAAATCTTGGTTGATTCTCAATTAGGAAAATGTTTTTGTATTGAAAAATGAGTATGCATGTTTGGTCTTTCCTGAAGTTATTTCTATAGAAAACAGACCATCTGTGGAAGCTTGGGCTATCTCTCAACATGAACCTTCTTGCTCTGGGCCAAGGCTGGGGCCTTGGTATCCAAAACTATTGCGTAGTCTGCAGCTTTGTCCCAATCTGCTGAAGATCTTACTGCTCCTCTTTTGTAGTAGACCTGTATTACTTTCCCCAAAGAGTTCTGCATTAAACATCCTGAGAACCGAGGCAAAAATACATTACAAAAGACTGCTGCATATCTATTCAACGTTAATCCCAGAAGGGCTATAAAAGCAA